CCAGAGTGGATGATGATTATGCTGCAGTGTCGTTGCAGTACCTTGTCGTTGCATTTTTTCTTGCTCGAAGTTTCTTTTACTGTTCTTTTACTTTGTTCTTTTCTCTTTTTGAATGACATAAAACATTAAATGACACGCAGGACTGATCTAGAGAGAGGCAATTTACCACACTTCTTCGACACTATTCTCGAACAAAAGCCTGACAATGACAGAGCAACATATGTACTCCGTATTCAGGACTTCTTAACCTTTTGAAATCTTTCAAAGGTAGTGTTTATAACGATTCCGTGCGTACGAGGCCTAAATGCCATTACGAAATTCTCCGGGCGTCAAATAAAGTCCCCAGCGTGTGCGCAGGACAAGCTGTGTTTCATCTGGCGCGCTAATTGGATTACGGTAGCCCTAGCCTGGTGCTGAGGTTATATTCTTGTAACTAACACTGGCGGTTGTCGCACACTGCACACGGAATGCACTTGAGCTTCTCAAGAAAAAACGCGATTTCATGTGCACAACGTTAACGCCTTTTTGATCATGGATGTGCGGCGGCTAAGAAGAATGTCGTTTGAACATGTTGCCCCCAAGGCCGGTATCATAAGAACAAACTTAGAGTAGTAACGCATTACGCCGACAAATTAGAAGATACAAATTGTAGTAGAAGGGAAGTCGAAATGAAGGCGGACGCCGCTTCTAGCAACACGCTCGCGCAATCACCGACCATACAAAAGTGGGTGAGGCGGTATAAGAGCTTCACGGATTGCCAACTTTAGAACCATAACTTGCTCCAAAGACCTCACCTTCGCCCACTGTCACACCTCGTTTCCTTGGTTACCTTCCACTGATTTCAGTAGCTCAAATACTTCCCTAGAGCGCGACCCCTCCATCGTAATCAGTTCCATCGAGGGGAACAATAGAGTCAATTTGATCATGAAATAGTGCGAGTATCAGACTTTTACGCAGAAACGCGGCACAGAAATCGAACCCCCATGTGGACGTGTGCGTCTGTGACACCAACCATATGTGGACTTAAGCCGTTTGGACAGAGCGAGCACCCGAAGTAAGCGTGAATTATATGTTCTGCTGTAGTCACGTACAATGCGCGACGCATTGACGCGCTGAAACGTGTGCTCGCCTCCTACTTCTCGTTTTGCGCTCTCTCAAGAGGAGGAACGCGTTGAGCAAACTCGCCAACTACACTCCGTTGCAAAACTATACGACATACCTCAAATTTCGGGGTTCTGAGGTTGAGGGTGGGATTAGCAGGAAAACGTCTACTGCCATTCGATTCAGCGTGTTAACAAACCTACTGAGGAGATTCACTTTCAAATTTCATTCATTTTCAAAAGCATGGGATCAAAAAAAAAAAAAAAAGGCCGTTGCAAAACTATACGACATAGCACATTTTTTTCACAGGAATTTTATTTCAGTACACGTTTCCACAACAATTGTAAACCATATAGCAGTATGTGATAGGTCAATAGTCAACAGGTCCGCCATGATGTGCTATCACGTCGAACAGCCGATTTGGCATGCTCTCAATCAACTTCTTCAGAACCTCCTTCTGTATCAGTGCCCATTCCTCGAGTATCGCCTTTTGTAAGAGAGCCACTGTCTCGTACTGTTTTCCCCGAGCGTAGATTCGACGCGCGAGGATGCCCCACAGATTTTCCATCGGATTCAGATCGGGGGAACATGCAGGCCAATCCAGTAAATCGATGTGATGAGCCTCGAACCAATCCAGAGTTGATCTGCTAACGTGTATGGCAGCGTTGTCTTGCTGAAAAATGAGACGATGGCGGCGATTTCTTCTCATAAATGGTAGAAGGTGGTTTTTGAGCACGTCCTGGTAATCACTGGAATTCATTCGGCAAGTCGTGAAGACTATATCCAGCTTGCCACACCAGCTAAAAGCCGCCCAGCACATCACGCTTCCACCGCCAAAGTTCCGCTTAGAGAAGGTGATTGGATTTTTGCGCAGATCTCTCCAATACGAGTGCCATCCGTCCGGCCCATCCAAATTGAACTTTTTTTCGTCGGAAAAAATGATCTGCAACAGCAAGTACCACTCATGGTCGTCCAAAACTACACGTAATAATTAGTACTACCGTCTTCCAATTTGTCTGCATGTTGATTCTTGCAAAGCAAAGACGAGCCTCCTTGTGTTCCTTCGTAAGTCGGGGAGCACTCTTCATTTTCTCACGGACTATGTATGACGAGTCATTAATCACACGTATGACCGTGTCTTTGCTCACTTGGAGCCCCAATTCTTCCCTGATTTCGCTAGCCGTCTTCGTGCTGTTCGACGCCAATCGAAGAATTGAACGGCGATCACGTTCGCTCAGCTTCTTCGGTCTTCCGGTTAAAGTTTTCGTATTATACGCGAGTGGATTCCGCAAATACCGTGCAATGCAGTCTCGAGAGCGGTCGATCCGCTGGCTCATCCGGCGAACACTCCATCCCAGGTCGCGCATGACGTCGATTTCAGCCTGCTCGTCCATAGAAAGGCGATTGTTGCGTGGCATTTTGCTCCATGTGGAGTAGAAACATATATGGTATATGTATGCAACATGAAACGGTAATATTTCTCGTTTCCAATCTGGATATAGTTGAGGAGTGTTGAGAATCAGTAGCTATGTCGTATAGTTTTGCAACGGCCTTTTTTTCGTTTTTTCGACCCCACGCTTTTGAAAATGAATGAAATTCGATAATGATTCACCCCTGTAGGTTTGTTTGCACGCTGAATCGAATGGCATTGACCATTTCCCTGCTCATCCCACGCTAACCTCAGAACTCCAAAATTTGGGGTATGTCGTATAGTTTTGCAACGGAGTGTATAGTCACTTCGTATAATGTA